ACACTTTTTTTTTCCTGGTTCCTAATACCTCCATTAGCATATGAACCAGAATCTACTATGATACTAGTTTTACTCAACAAACTCTCGATAGCCTTAAGTAGTTCTATGATGCACGCAGAATTGTTTTTGGTTGACTAAGTAATGAACTTACAAAGAAGAATTTGACACAATTTAAGGACTGGTAAGTGAAGAGATCTAGATTGTTTATGGGATTAGGGGATCTAACCATCAAGCTTCATGTACTAGGAACTGTGTGATCTTAGTACAAATCATAGTCAAGTTAGGAAGAGGTAAAAGTAAAACTATTAGAAGTCAGGTTTGATAATGCAGACTTGCAGAGGTTTCGACAAAAATCAGATTTGAACTAGGGACTAGAGATATTTAGAAAGTCTATTCAGAATAGGATAGCATAAAGTATGAAAATTTTTCTGAGAATTGAGAAACCCTTTTAATGCTGAAAATAAGTATCCAGCAGCTTATCATGGCAAGAATAATAAATATCCAATTAGGAAATATAAAAATAGGTGAGAAAGCCTAAACTATTAGTCAAAAACAGAAGAACTCTGAACCAACAGGATTTTTTTTCGCCATTCCAAAATGCCAAGATGTGTATAAGATACAGGTTAAGAACTAGATCCAAATTCCATTCCCCTTTTATGCATTGCATCTATAACAATGTTTGATTATTATGACCAATTCTTTCTACTTGGATATCTTTCATTTTGTATCACCTCTATGATGGTAAATTGATTGTTGCCTTTCTTGTTGATACTGACCTTAAGTTTTTCTATTGGCAGGAAGGAGACACTGTTGTAGCTCATTTCAAGTACCATAAGTACCCTGTTACATCTATCCAGTGGAGTCCACAGGAAGCCTCCACTTTGGCAGTTTCATCATCTGATAATCAGCTAACGTGAGTATATATAGAACACTCAAACATCAGAATCCAAGAAAAGCAACAAAAAACTTGCTGAATAAAAATGCTGGAATTTTAAGCTCTCTTCATCTCTCACACACCCCCCACACATTGTTCTCTCTCCTTCTATTCAATGACAATGAGTTTAAATTAAATTTCTCCCATTTACTTCCGTTTCCAGGATATGGGACCTCTCCTTAGAAAAGGATGAGGAAGAGGAGGCAGAGTTCAAAGCTCAAACAAAAGAGCTAGTGAATGCTCCAGAAGATTTACCACCTCAACTTCTCTTTGTTCATCAGGTATATTCTGTTTTAATTTAAAACAGAATATTCTTCTCAAAGAATGAAGCTTCAGTAATTAAATATAGTCTATTCAAAATTTGAAACCTTGTTTTACCTGTAAACAGGGACAGAAAGACTTGAAAGAACTTCACTGGCATACTGAGATTCCAGGGATGGTTGTATCCACCGCAGCAGATGGTTTTAATATCCTGATGCCTTCAAACATACAGAGTACTCTCCCCTCCAATGATGCTGCTTAAAAGACAAGTTTGGTTGGTGGAAGCCAAGTTATTGACACGGTATTGTACCGACTGTACCAGTTTTTGTATTAAACCAAAATGGTACATGGTCTAATTTCGTATCGGTTAAATTTCATTCATTTCAATCAAATTTTGACGTACCAGTCCGTATTTTGATGTACCAGCCAGTCCGTATTTTGATGTACCAGCCGGTACACAAAAGTTATCTGGTACAACTCAATTTAAATTTAAAAAGGGTAAATTTTATTTTTGGTCCCCAACTTTAATGTTTTACATAATTTTCATCTTTCAACTTTTTTATGTACTTTTTTAATCCATTTTTCATATTCTTTTCAGTTTTTCTATCAATTACTTCGTTAGATTTGTCTAAATATACACATTTTTAGTCCTTTAGTTTAAGGTGGATGGACAAAAAATATGTATATATTAGAAGTTGAGGGATTAAAAATGGTCATTTTAAACTTGTTTTCAATTTATAAGAATATAATGGTTTTAAATATTAATATTTCTTATCTTATTTTAAAATTTGATATTCAATTTATAAAAATATATATTTATAACGATAAATCCAAAATGATACGTAAAAAATTTTGATATTCGATATATACCATTCCAATAGTAAAATCAATATACATGCTGGTATGATATTTGACAACTTTGGGTGGACGGCAATGCTATAGAGACAGTCATGGTATATGTTTGATCGACACTTTGGATTGCATTGGAGTGATCTTATGAGTAGGTAGCTTTCATAGATGTACAAAAACTTTGGAGTTGCTTTCTTATGTTCTGTAACGAGGGAGCAAAAGTTGCTTGTTGCTCCCAAAGATTTTTCTGAGACTGAATTTCTTCAGTTTCAAAATAATTTACTGGTATGTGATTTTGAGGATAGGATATGGCTAATTTTCAACTACTCAACCAACTTCAATAGAATCAATTGTTCATGAAAGAGAAGCAATATGCCTCAATATTGATCAAATATATCTTGAATTCTTCAAGGTGCAACTATGGAAATCTTTGCTTTCTTAGAAAAAATGAAAAAAGAAAAGAAAAAGAAAGGGAGAAGAATGGGAAGACAACTGAATCTATCCCAGAAGAATGAAAGAGGGAAAGGTAAACCAACGGATACGTCAAAAGGAAAATGGAAACTAACAGAGTGAAGGGAAGAGATCTTTTGTCATGCAGCAACAGCATCCAACTCAATTTCGTCAAATGAAACCAGAAATGGATTAATATATTATTTATCAAATGGGATTCATGTTTAGCCATCTAAATTGTATATTAAAATATAACTCATCTTATGAATATATTAAAATGCCTT